TGTCCTCTGTCATCTGTCCTCCTGTCATCTGTTATCTGTCCTCTGTCATCTGTCCTCCTGTCATCTGTTATCTGTCCTCTGTCATCTGTCCTCCTGTCATCTGTCATCTGTCCTCTGTCCTCTGTCATCTGTCCTCTGTCCTCTGTCCTCTGTCATCTGTCATCTGTCATCTGTCCTCTGTCCTCTGTCATCTGTCCTCCTGTCATCTGTTATCTGTCCTCTGTCATCTGTCCTCCTGTCATCTGTTATCTGTCCTCCTGTCATCTGTTATCTGTCCTCTGTCCTCTGCCATCTGTCCTCTGTCCTCTGTCCCCTGTCCCCTGTCCTCTGTCCTCTGTCATCTGTCCTCTGTCCTCTGTCCTCTGTCATCTGTCATCTGTCATCTGTCCTCTGTCCTCTGTCATCTGTCCTCCTGTCATCTGTTATCTGTCCTCTGTCATCTGTCCTCCTGTCATCTGTTATCTGTCCTCCTGTCATCTGTTATCTGTCCTCTGTCCTCTGCCATCTGTCCCCTGTCCTCTGTCCTCTGTCCTCCGTCATCTGTCCTCCTGTCATCTGTTATCTGTCCTCTGTCCTCTGCCATCTGTCCTCTGTCATCTGTCCTCTGTCATCTGTCCTCTGTCCTCTGTCCCCTGTCCCCTGTCCTCTGTCATCTGTCCTCTGTCCTCTGTCCTCTGTCATCTGTCCTCCTGTCATCTGTTATCTGTCCTCTGCCATCTGTCCTCTGTCATCTGTCCTCTGCCATCTGTCCTCTGTCCCCTGTCCTCTGTCCTCTGTCCTCCTGTGTTCCTGTCCTCTGTCCTCCTGCCCTCTGTCCTCCTGTCCTCTGTCCCCTGTCCTCTGTCCTCTGTCCCCTGTCCTCTGTCCTCTGTCCCCTGTCCCCTGTCCTCTGTCCCCTGTCCTCTGTCCTCCTGTGTTCCTGTCCTCTGTCCTCTGTCCTCCTGTCCTCCTGTCCTCTGTCCTCTGTCCTCTGTCAGACAGATAACTCCTGAGCAGAACCAGGTTAGATCCGGACTGTGGTTCCTTCAGCTGATCTCAGAGGTCCAGCCACGCTCACCTGCAGTCTGGTCCCGGTCCTCCGGTCCAACACCTGCAGTCTGGTCCCGGTGCTCCGGTCCAACACCTGCAGTCTGGTCCCGAAGCTCCGGTCCGGTACCGGCAGGGACTGGGCGCAGAGGAAAAGGTGCAGAGATAAAACTCTGCCGCAGAACTCGACGATCCGCATCCTGACGGTTCTGACCCGGGTCTGAGGCAGAACCAGGAGGGGGCAGGACCCAGAACTGATGACGCCAGACACCAGGGGGGTTCTGAGTCCTCATCCGGAACCAAACCCGCCAACCCGCCCTTAAAAGTCCAAACAGAGCCGCAAAACATCACCTGGTTCTGAAGTGTTCCGACTGAAAAACATCCGAACCTGATGAGAGGATCGGTTCTGCAGCTGCTTCAGAACCTTCATCTTCTTCAGAACCTTCATCTGCTTCGGAACCTTCAGCTGCTTCAGAACCTTCATCTGCTTCAGAACCTTCAGAACCTTCAGAACCTTCAGAACAGCACGGAGACTCTGAAACGTTTTAAATGATTTTATTTAATTGAGAGTTTTTATGAAACAAACCGAACTTTTCTCAGCAGCTGTTCGTCTCGTCCAGCAGGTGGCGCCAAATCTCCGACCAGCTGTTTCCTGAGGAGGAAGAAGCAAAAAGAGGAAGAGGAGGAAAAGAGGAGAACCAGCAGCTGGTTCCGTATTTTTATTGGTTTTAACCCAGTCGTTCTGATCATGGCGCCTTTGGACCTCGATAAATACGTAGAAATAGCGAAACATTGCAAATATTTACCGGAGAATGACCTGAAGGTAAGCTGAAGTCGCTAGCTTTAGCATTAGCATTAGCTTTGACTCTGTGGTTAGCTGCAGGAGCTAACGCGGCTACAAAACCTAATGTAGTTAAACGTGGGGGATATAATCTGTGCTGTGGAGTAATCCTGCTGACAGATTATTCATTATTCCTGAACAAACCCACGGAAACATGTTGAGCAAAGAGCAGAAGCTGAAGCTCCTAGCTAACATGCTAACAGATGCTAACAGGCTAGCCGCTCAGATGATCTTCATCGGTTTAAACTTGAACTTTCAGACAAAATGAAACATTGTGTTAAATCTCAGGATGATCCGGATGTTTGACAGTTTTTAACTATTAAATCACAACATGTACGAGTTGTTCTGACAACTTTATTTTTCTGTTTAAACATAAAAACAGCATTTTAAMAACAGCTGAAGGTGACATAGATACTTTATTATGTGATAGTATTTAAATATATGCCTGAGAAACACATGATATAAACCCTTTAAGTTGTTTTTGTTACTTTAATAATAAAACTTCTTCATGTAAAGTTTGTTTTCATGTTTTCCTCTGGTTTGTGTTGTTGGTGCCAAAAACAGAAGATTTGTTATAAATCTGTTATTACTGAAGTCAGTTTTACACAGTAAAAACTGAACTTTCTGCTCAGATCTTTTCTGTAATCTCAGATTATAATCCGTGTTTTCTGTCTGCAGAGATTATGTGATTATGTTTGTGATTTGTTGCTGGAAGAATCCAACGTTCAGCCTGTGGCCACGCCAGTGACGGTCTGTGGAGACATTCACGGTCAGGTGGGTCTGAGGTTCTGGTTCTGGTTCTGGTTCTGAACCCTGGGCAGCTTTTAATAAAGCAAAAAAAAAAAAAAAACCTTTAATTTGTGTTTGTTTGTCTTCAGTTTTATGATCTGTGTGAACTGTTCAGAACAGGAGGCCAGGTTCCTGACACCAACTATATCTTTATGGTGAGATATTGTTTTACTTCAGAAAATACAAATAACTACATAGATATGACACATAAATACACATGTACTTACAAAGCATAAGTAAACAAATGTACTCAGATAAGTACACAGATAAGTACACAGGTTCAGACTGACTTGAAGGACCAGAGCGTAAAGAAGGTTCTGTGGTTCTGGGTCTGCAGGGGGACTTTGTGGACCGAGGGTACTACAGTTTGGAGACCTTTACGTACCTGCTGGCTCTGAAGGCCAAGTGGCCCGATCGGATCACGCTCCTGCGAGGGAACCACGAGAGCAGACAGATCACTCAGGTCTACGGTTTCTACGGTACGTTCTGCTGCACAGGTCCATCGYGCCTGAAGGTTCTGCTCTCATGTGTGACCTTTGACTTCCAGATGAGTGTCAGACTAAATATGGAAACGCCAACGCCTGGAGGTACTGCACCAAGGTGTTCGACATGCTGACTGTGGCTGCGGTGAGTCCTCGGACCTTTATCATGACTTAAAATATTTACTCTGGTCTTTATTCTGGACTTTACTCTGGTCTTTATTCTGGACTTTACTCTGGTCTTTACTCTGGTCTTTATTCTGGACTTTACTCTGGTCTTTATTCTGGTCTTTACTCTGGTCTTTATTCTGGACTTTACTCTGGTCTTTATTCTGGACTTTACTCTGGTCATTATTCTGGTATTTATTCTGGACTTTACTCTGGTCTTTATTCTGGACTTTACTCTGGTATTTATTCCAGTCTTTACTCTGGTCATTATTCTGGCTTTACTCTGACTATGGTCTTTATTCTGGACCTTATTCTGGTCTTTATTCTGGATTTACTCTGACTATGGTCTTTATTCTGGACTTTACTCTGGTGTTTACTCTGGTCTTTATTCTGGTATTTATTCCAGTCTTTACTCTGGTCATTATTCTGGCTTTACCCTGACTATGGTCTTTATTCTGGACTTTACTCTGGTCTTTACTCTGGTCTTTATTCTGGTCTTTACTCTGGTCTTTATTCTGGCTTTACTCTGGTCTTTACTCTGACTCTGGTCTTTTTTCTGGACTTTACATTGGTCTTTATTCTGGCCTTTACTCTGGTCTTTACTCTGACTCTGGTCTTTTTTCTGGACTTTACATTGGTCTTTATTCTGGCCTTTACTCTGGTCTTTACTCTGGTATTTATTCTGATCTTTACTCTGGTATTTATTCCATTCTTTACTCTGGTCATTATTCTGGCCTTTATTCTGGTATTTATTCTGGTCTTTACTTTGACTCTGTTCTTTTTTCTGGTCTTTATTCTGGACTTTACTCTGGTCTTTACTCTGGTCTTTATTCTGGTCTTTAGTTCAGTCTTTACTCTGGTCTTTACTCTGTCTTTGCTCTGGTTTTTATTCCAGTCTTTACTCTGGTCTTTACTCTGGTCTTTACTCTGGTCTTTATTCCAGTCTTTACTCTGGTCTTTACTCTGTCTTTACTCTGTCTTTACTCTGGTCTTTATTCCAGTCTTTACTCTGGTCTTTGTTCTGGTCTTTACTCCAGTCTTTACCCTGGTCTTTACTCCAGTCTTTACCCTGGTCTTTATTCCAGTCTTTACCCTGGTCTTTATTCCAGTCTTTACTCTGGTCTTTATTCCAGTCTTTACCTGGTCTTTACCCTGGTCTTTACTCTGGTCTTTATTCCAGTCTTTACCCTGGTCTTTACTCTGGTCTTTACTCTGGTCTTTATTCCAGTCTTTACCCTGGTCTTTACTCTGGTCTTTACTCTGGTCTTTACTCTGGTCTTTACTTTGGTCTTTACTCTGGTCTTTATTCCAGTCTTTACCCTGGTCTTTACTCTGGTCTTTACCCTGGTCTTTACTCTGGTCTTTACTCTGGTCTTTACCCTGGTCTTTACTCTGGTCTTTATTCCAGTCTTTACCCTGGTCTTTACTCTGGTCTTTACCCTGGTCTTTACTCTGGTCTTTACTCTGGTCTTTACCCTGGTCT